TGACACTTGCTTCAGGCTTCGTCCAGCGCATCATTCCTTGCTGTTTTGATCGATTTCACGAAAGATCGAGTTTGTTCGGGATGTTGTGTCTTGTCCGTAACAGATTCGTAACTCGTGCACGTTCGTACCGGTACGTACGTACCCGTATCATAATTTATTATCGTTCTTCCGTCCAAGTACGTACTAAGTACGATAACTACTACAGTATCCTCTCAAACCTAAAAAATCGAAGGTGTCAATCAACAGTCAATCATCGGCCGCAATGTTATTGGTACCGTACGGTATCTCAAATTAGTATCGTAACTTAGTATCATACTTTGGTAGGTGTAGAATGTATCATGCTGTATTTCAATATCTGTGTCACTGTTTGTTGTTTTGTTCCTTGCAAAAACGAAAGAAATTATTATCATCACTCCTGTCGGTGGTTACTAAAATTATTGGCGCGCTACTAATAGAGGGGCAGGCTCGGATGTTTTACGAGTAAGGGGGTTGTAAGTTGTAACCCCTAATATTGATACTATCCGTGAATTTGAATCTCGAACACGCCACGATACGAGCAGTAAAATGTAAAATCAGCACGACTTGACAAGTAACCTAGTAACGGTTGTGAAAATTCCCAGGGTTTCGAGTCTCGCGGTTTAGTATAACCGCTGGCGCCTTCCGCCTCCCACTGGTTTTGTTTTTTGGTGTTTGCTGCAGACACTATTGGGTTGTGGCGGGTTTGTCATCGGCTGGAGTGGTCGGAGTTTCAGACGCGGCATAGGTCAACCGAAAAAATTGTTGGACTCATCGAATCCTGGCGCGTTCCGCTCGGCAAGAAAATGCCCCGCACGAATTTTCCACTCCGATATCTTCAAAAGTGGCAGGGATTTTTGTCGTTCGAATCGTAATACTCGTGTCTTGGCAAGATGTGTGGAACGTTACGTATGTGGTTACCCGGAGGCGGTGTTTTTAAGAGCTGGGGCATCGCTCTTTTCCCACCTGAGAAGCTAAATTTTTAGTAAGAATTAATTTATCACATGAATTTTCTTAAGCAATCCCAGCGGCCTCTCCATCGGCAACGACAAAGCAACTAAAGTGTCGCCGCATCAGCGAGACCAAATCCTACTGTAATTTTGGTGAACCTCCTCAAGTTCCGGGGTACCGGTGCGGTAGCAAGATCCAAACCAGTCTTTGTGCAGCAAGGTTGGCTTGCAACATCATTGAGGCACGGCAGAATACGAACACAACGTACGGCACAATAAAACGGGGTGGCACGATAAATTTTGATACAACTAGAGCAACCGAAATCGCGCAACAACGATAACACTAGCTAGGTACACCAACGAAGCAATGACATTCGAACAACAGAGTATCGGTCGGCCAAGACGGAGGCCTTCGTCGTTCCGTTTTGAGAAAAAACTGGCAATAGCAGCTTTAGCGTTGGCAATTGTCTTCGTTGCGGACTCGATGGGGTCGGCAGCAGCAACTAACATTGCTCGCAGCATGAGCAGCAGCGCATACGAGGACGCCAATTCGAACAGAGTAGGTGGAGACACAAACCAAAGCCACGGAAAGAGCAACAACGACATCAGAAGCAACAGCCGGAAGCGGCAGCTCCTTGACCTGTCGTATGATTCCTTTCCGATCTACACCTTGCCTGAGCCGTGGGAAGAGACTCCCATTCTGGAACTGGACGCATCGCTCCAGCCACTCGGCGATGGCCCCAACGAAGACTCTGACAACGACAACTACTTTCCACCCAAACAGTCTCGCATTGTGGGTGGAGAAGAGGATTCCAATCTGGATTCCTTCGTGATGCACCTGCGCTACGTAGCCGCCGACAACCGTTGGAAGTTTGCCGGGTGTGGAGGGACCCTGATTTCGGCCTGTCACATTCTAACGGCGGCTCACTGCATGACTGGCGATCGGGCCAACCGCACCCAGGCCGTGTTCGTAAATGCTTGGAGGCCCTTTGCCAAAAACCTCGACGACACCACGGGAAGGACCAAGCCCTATCACATCTCGCGCATCGATTCGGAGAACGCCGTTGTCCACCCGGGTTTCGATATAAAGAGCAACCTGAACGACGTGGCCGTCCTGACCATGACCAAGTGCATTCCGGCGAACCGAACCGAATCCTTCGAAGTAATGGAGATTGCCGATGATGTCTTTTGGCGCGAGCGATACAACGAGTTAGTGGTCCCCTACAAGGACTGGAACGAAGACTGGAACGTGGATCCAGAAACGGCGACGATCAGCGACGATCTGGCCGACGCCAAGACGCGGGTGGCCGGCTTTGGCCAGCTCGACACGAGCGAAGCCGGTGTGCCACCAGCGTTGCAATCTGTGGACGTTTCTTTGATCAACCGAGACGACTGCGAGGCGAAATACAGCTCCAGTCTTCGCTTCCAGAGCGCCAACAAGACCATGATCAAACCGGATATGTACTGCGCGGCGGCCATCGATGGTGGAAAAGATGCGTGTCTGGGTGAGTACAGTACAGTGCAGTAAAGCGCAGTGCCAGCCGCACAAAAAAGGAAAAATCAGTTTGCATCACGAATAACTGTCACGCCATGCAATACCATGCTACTCTAACCTTTCGAATTGTATCTTCTGCTGCTACTGTAAACGATGCTATACTACTATTCAGGCGACTCGGGCGGGCCCAATTATATTACGGATCCCGTGACAATGCAGCGAACCCAACTGGGACTCGTATCTTGGGGAATCGGTTGTGCTCAAGAGGGGTATCCCGGTGTCTATACATCCGTGGCCTACCATTATGACTTTATCAAAAACGCCGTCTGTGGCGACGAGGGTCTCGCAGCTATGGGAGACGTAGCCGACCCCCTGTCGCCCTATGCTCTCAAACTTTGTTTGCCAGACGAGCTTAGAGACCCGAACGACAACGATGGTGAGGATGGCCCGACTCCCGAGAAAATTGTCCTTGGTGAACACCTCTACGTACAACAACAAGAAGAGGAGGATATCCCTTCTGGGGATATCGAGAATGACGAAGGAGAGGATGTTATCGCTGGGGACGACCAGAGCGAAGAAGAGGAGGATGTTGCCGCCGCGGAGAAAGAGAACAATGAGGACGACGACGAAGAAGAAGAAGTTGAGGAAGAAAAATTGCCACTTACTTGTTCGCCGAAGAATGGTTCGTGCAGCCAAGACGACAGCGAGTGCTGTGGAAAATTGACCTGTCACAAAAAGGACAAGGTTTGCAAGAAGCCGCCTCGGCAATCAAAGGTACGTATGCATGYCCTGTATTGGCCGATTGGACGCGATGCAGTGTGATGTGCTATGATGCATGGCACGTTTTGGATTGCTTGGAACCAATGATATGGCTCACCATTGCTTTATTGGCATCCTACTCACACTCGCCACAGGCAAGTGAAGAAAAATCAGAAGTGTCTGCGGAAGCCAAATCGAATTTCCAGTACATTGAGGATGGGACGTGGGTCCGAAGAAGAGGGGTAAGAGGCCTACGAAAACGAGTGTAAGGCGTACGCAGCTTGAATCCTAGAAAAGAATGGAATGGTTCCAATTTGTCATTTGACAACCTCTCTTGCTAACGACGCAAGTCGAGATGGGTGTCGCGTGAAAGAGAACGGACTGCACTAGAAAGGGATCGACCCCACAAGGATTCATACGAGGATGCAACACTCAAAACTGTAGCTAATGTACAGCAGATTGTGGAACCAAATCTGCCACTGCAGGCTGCCACGGTGGATGCGATACCAATCGATGACACCCTCGTGCGCCAAACCATCTATCCCCGAAGACATTTTAGAACACCCGAAATGGGCCAATCCCTAGCATCGGCACGGTGCAAGCACCAACGTGCTGGTCACGCGGACGAGAAAAACAATCAGATTGTGTGTGCGGGGGGTAGGGGGGTTGGTGTTATAAACTACGGCGAATCACAAACGCCTGTTCTTCTGGCTGTTTCGATGCGATTATTATTCCTTTATGCTTGTTCCGATCGGTGCGTCATCCATACGGTAACAGAAAACATAGGCGAGCTCAATAAAAGAGCCGATAAACGCCGAGTTAGCTTGACTCAAAGATTCGTACTCTGAAGTTCTACTGTTAGTTATATTAATGCTATTGTATAGGAGCGTACGCAGGAAATGGGTGCGTCTTTGAAAGAACGTCACAAGCACCGACGCCAAGCGAACGCATGCGGTGCCGTCCCACCCTACGAGGTTCCTACCACCGCCCAGCCCCCGATCATGCAGAGCCCACCGATCGGTGTGGCCGGTCCCAGYACCGGCTTCGGGCCGATCCCCAGCGCCAGGAAATAGATCGACCCCGAAAAAAGGAGGCTCCCGATCCCCATAAGCTTTGCCGCAAACAGGTGCCGGCGGCCCTTCCCGGGGACACCCCGTGAGACCGAGGACGACGCCGACACCGCCAGGGACAGAACGGCCGCCGCGTGGACGAGCTGGTAGACCGTGGCGGTCTGCCACATGGCGGCGCTTCCCCTCTCCTCCAGGGTTTTCTTGAGGGCGTGGGCGCCAAAGGCCCCCGTGCCGACCCCGATGGCCCCCATGGCCCCCGCAATYCGGATCCAGGCGGAAGCACTCGCGGCGAGTCCCGCCTCGTCGCTGCCTCTGCCCGGACCGTTGTCGTTCCCGGTGGCAGGCATATTGGTCCTTCGTAAGTAAGTTCGCTTCGGGACTACTTCTGCTGCTGTGTCGTGCTCTCCTGCGCTCCGGTGTGACAGAGTGCAAGGAAAGTGTTCGATTGGAAAAGAGAGGCACCGCGAATGCCGATGCTCGTTTGGTTTCTGTTTCAGTGTAGTGTTGTCTCTAGAGGCTCCAGGAACGAAACAAAAAATCCAAAAAAAATCTTTCGACGAGGAATGGAAACTATGCTAGTACCCTTGTTCCAGAGAAGGATGTSAAGCCGAAAATAAAAAATGTYGCCTCTCCCTCCGTTGCACAGGCACTCTTCCCCACCAGCAACCACAAAACAATAGGTGTGCTGTACAACAGTGGATACTGATACGAACCAGTGCAGTGAAAGGCAGCTGCACAATACGAAAAGAAAGCACGAAAAGGCGTATTTTGTRTTAATTTATCGAGTAGTTCATCCCTTAATCCAATTCGTTGACTCGGAGTCCTTCCAGCTTGTCGTCCAGGTCGTCTTCTCTCACAAAGAGGAGAACGCGTCTCCCGTCGCCATCGAGGGGTTTGGCATTCGCATTCTCGTCGGGCATCACCACCACGATGGCGCGCTCGTCGCAAAARGCAACCTCGAGATCCACCCTGCGAATGTTATCGTCGGTACCGGCCATGATTTCTTTTCCCGTTCCGTCGTACATTGTGTCGTACACAATCTGCATCTCGGAACCAGCACTCCCGCTCGAGGGCTTGGCGGTTCCCTGCAGGACGTTCTTGACGTTCGGAAAGGGCCCGAGGATGCTGATGACTTCGAGGATTTCTATTTTGTTCTTTCCGAGACAGTTCATAAAGACCTCCTTCATGCGGGCCAGAGGGACCTTGTGGAGTCCGGTTCCAACGTGGCACAGTGCGTCGTCGCTTCCGACCCACGCCAATCGGTAATCCGATCGGTCTTTTCCCGACAAGAGCCGTCGCAGATCGCCGTTGTCGTTCGAGGGAATCTCCAGCAACTCCCGGACGACCGCCAAAATRTCGCCGACCTTCCCGGTTCGTTCTTCAAGGACCTCCTCCAGTTTTTCCAGRACGGTTCCTACTTTTGCGCTCCGTTCCTTATCGATCGCCCTTTGCTCGCTCTGCTTCTGGCGGCGATCGCGTCCTCCCCGAGCACTCTTGGTTTTGCCGACGACCTCGGCTTCGACAACACCATCGCTTCCCGACTGCTGCAAGAATTTCTCCAGATCGGGGGACATGGCCGAGGACGGTGCCGAGCCCGACTTTTTGCCGCCTTTCTTTTTCTGTTTTCGCTGCAGCTTGGTCGATTTCTTCAACCCGGTGCGCGTCTTTTTGGAAGGACCGCTGGTTTCGTCGGCGTCGATGCTCCCTAGGCCACCGCGCGCCCTTCCGTGCAGCTGCGTTGCACCACCGGCAACGATCGCGTTTCCCGCGCGCCCGGCATTCGGAACCACGGAAAATCCATGGGCCGCAGCGGACAAGCAAGAAGCGGCAACGGCAACTCGAAGAGAGGAAAGGACCACCATGCTGTASTTCTGTCGTTTGTTCCGGCGATAGGTGGGGATTCTTTTCGCGTTGGTGGGTCTGGATTGAGCTCTCTTTGAGGGTTTGGTGCGATCGAAGACGACAASAACGATACCTCGCAAATCGACTGATGCTCGAAAGATGAAGACGGTACTTCCGAAGTGTTTGCGTTGGAGTTGGTGTATGTGGGTGGTGATGTTCTCGTCGAGTCTTGTACCAGTATTGATACGAGTACGTACGATTCCTCGTACAAGCAGTACTCGTACGTTCTTACCTTTCGATASGGCTTTTTGTTGTTGATTGTTGTTGATTTTGATGAAACAGAAGATTACTTTTTTGATGACGAGCAACCGATGACGCAAGGTTGTTCGTAACGAGAGTACRTACGTACCGTGCGTTCTCAAACGTACGTACGTACCGTACACCGTACCAGTTTGGGTTCGAAATAAGACGTGACTGCTTTTTAACGGTAGGGATTTTACAGGACTCTACGTGTGGAACAATAGTCTTATTTTACACCCGGAACATAAAGCTGTCACTTAATTCCACCTGGAACCAAAAAGGAACTATTTTATAACCAAAAAGGAACCCTGTACACACAAATTGTTACGAGGACCCACTGGAGGATGCTGATACGGAGGAGCTACTGATACGGAGGAGGACACTGATACGGAGGACGCTCGCTGATACGATTACGGAGGATGCTCGCTGATACGATACAGAGGCTCGTTGAGCTGAGCTGATACGATACGATACGACGGAGGCTCGCTGATACAATTTTTCGTCGATTTTGCTACTGGTAGTTACAGCACTGTTCCTCCAAAACCACTGGGTCGATTGATCCRCAACTTCCGGATCCTTTCCCCCTTAATGTAAGGATTAGCACAGTTGTCTTGTGAGTGCGATTGGTTGGATATTGATGAAGAACTAAAGAGGTGACAGCTTGCTATGCTGGGGGTTGTGCTAATTTTTTTCTAATTTTTTTTGGTGAGCAGAGAAATCAAGAACCCCGAAAAGGTTTTCGAAAAAAAACACCCAGCAATGTGCACATCTATGTGAAGAGAAAAGAAAACCCTTTCCGACTGACAGATTCTCTAATTCTGATTGGTGCTTTGCTAGCGTTAACAAACAAGCAAAGATAACTAAAAATTAGGGTGTTTTATTGTACTACTCATGACCTGTTAGAAATCAATAGTCTTATAACGCACTCAAACTGGTACCATGTGGTCCAACACTGCTTGAATGGTTCMTTCCAGCATACACAGAAATATGTAATTTTTGGCAGGCCTGCTCTTTTTACTATGTAGTATCTCAAATACTCAGACATTGGAGATGCATATTAATTGGAWTCCTTGACTAAACAGTTCCAGTCTTGAGAGMGGGCGTGCCCTAAAGACAGTCACCGGGCGCCAAACTGAAAATTTCAATTTTTGTTAAAAGAAAAAGAAGCATATCTTCGCTCCTTCCTCCCCCCCTCAACAAGAACAGGACATACTCAAGAACAAAGACAAGGAAAACCAAACAAAGCATCACCAAAGAAGAGCATCATTTCTATTGGACCAGATCAATGGGTGAAACATGTCCAAATCCATGAAGAAAACTGGAATACTGGAAGAGACCACAATGCCATCACCAGCAAGTACGCTCCCTCCACCAMAGGAAAGGAATTCCTACTTGGAATCCAAACATATCTCCTRCCATCAGGCTTGCTAAGGAGATCAAGCATTTGATTGGTGTGAAGGCAGCCATTGGAGATGCTGAGAAAATGTTTGATTTGGTAGAAGGACACCAAGGACACATTATTAGTGAGGATAACAGCACTTTGGACAACAAGGACAAGAACAAGGAAATCATCAAGGACAATGAGAATATTAACAAGGACAACAATAACAACAATAGTCCTCCTCCTCTTCATCAGCCTTCACAACTTACTCAAGAAATGCCAATGCCAATGCCAACTCAGCTCACTCAGCTTGAGATACCGRCTCAGCTAACTCAGCTTGTTGAAATGCTGACTCAGCTTGAGACACYGCTTGCTCAACTTACTCCATTGACTCAAGCAGCATCCACTCAAGTGTCAACTCAAGTATCCACTCAAGAAGTGTTGTTGTTGACTCATAACGCTGTCTCTCAGAGTACCCTGAGGCCCCTGACCAAGAGATCATACGTGAGATCCTCCGAATCAAGCACCATGTTCCTGATGACCCTGCAACAGCAAGAAGCCACTGATTGGTAACCAGTCAAGGGAACAACATCAACAGTCCATGCAACTGAATCAGCAAAGCATGACAGAAATCAAAGAGATGATTGCCAATATTGCCRGTGCTTATCTTCACTGTCCTTGTTGCAAGAAGGACAAGGATTTCTCCTCCTCGTCGGACAACAATTCCAAGTAATCCCATGGTTATTTACTAACTATGATTACTAAACTTAACTAGTACTGTTTGCTGATTGCTGTTTGCTCTCTCCTATTTGCGATTTATGAGTACTGGTAGCTGGAATAGCAATTGTGTTGCTACGCATTACTACTACATGTTGTTTGGAATCAATCTGTTGGTTCCCTCTAAACTTAATGTGATCCCTTTCTATTACCAGTCCCATTTTTTAAAAATATAAATTGATGGATATTAATGTCATCAATCATCATGGTGGAATTGCTTCCATGTGCAATGTATTCCCCTTCTATTAATAATCCCGGATTTTGTGGTAAGGTATGCAAGAAAACTGGTATGACAAAAATAACTTGTTGGTGTTAATGTATGTATCACAGACTCACAAGTTGTAGTACATGTTTTGAATGACCCAGTTGGTAGAGTGCTCAAGCTTAATGTTGAGACCATCTGCTGCACCCCAAACCCTTTTGGTTCCAAGTGCCTGGTACTTTCTTCTGATTGCTTCCACATATGCCTCCACTTCTTCATTGCAGRGGGATCTAATAATTATACATGGATGATGTTGCAATACAAAAAGAAGAACTTTCCTGGAATACTTCAATCATTTGTAGAGGGGAGTTAAAGTAAGGCCAAACACCATAGACAATGCCGCCCTAGCTGCTGATCTGTGTGTCCTGTACCAAGTCAAGACCAATGCAAGTCAAATGGTGGCAGTAATGTTCCTCCTGTTGCCCTTGGGTGTACCTTTCTTGGTTAAGAGTCAAGATCTGATTTGCTGAGTGTGTTTGTGCACAGTAAATCTATCAAACACTGGCTCAAAAATGGAGAGGAAKGCCCTAAAGACACCATGGTTGACACCACAGCATTTCAGAAGAGCCTGGCCATCACCAGACCCAAAGAGGTGGATGAATGGGGACCCTTTGATCCCCATGAGAGCAATCCTTGGCATCCTTCTGTCTCTTTGATGCCTGTCCTCRCAGGAGAGTATATGGCACATCTCCTGCTCCTTCTGCTCCTGTTCTTGTTGGAGGGAAGCTTCCCATGCAATTAAAACCAATATAGGAGGGGATATTTTGCTGTGAGAGAGGAATCAATAGCCAACAAATAGTGAAGATGGAGACTGTTTTGCAGACTGTTTTTATTGTTTCAGAGGAGGAATTAATGTGTTTTGTTGATTTGGAGGAGGGTGTTGTGAAGTGGGATTTCAATAGTTTTTGAGTCATGGCTGGTTTCCTGAAAATCTCAATCATGTTGAGGCCACTAGAATCTTGTCAAATTAGCATACAATTCCAAATACCAAAAATGGGGGGGGAATGTGTAATTTCAGCAAGCYTGCCATGTCTAAATTACCTGAAAGTCAGTTAAACGGATTGAGTCATTGTAGGGAAGAATGTATTTTGAAATGGGGCAGGTTACTATTGCACATCGCTAGTGTCTCAAAAACCAAAAACTCATTTTCCATCCTCAGCCAGGGCCCTCTGGAACCCACCCAAAATGCGCGCCATTTTTTAATTTTCTTCTGGTCTCTGCCAAATATTTTTTGTGCCCAAAAAACAAAACTTTCAGATTTCATGGAGCTTGTGGGCCCACTGAAACCAAAACTCCTCCTTTACACAAAAAAA